ACTCAACATCATGAAAATCAAGGTGTTAGACTTCCTTTGTTTAGAGAATTTGATTGTATGTTTTTGGATTTGGATTGAAGTACTCATAGATGGGCATCTACAAATTTGGCTATGCAAACGCCCTCTTAATATTCTATATGTTATGATATTTGGAAACAATAGGATTTGGTAATTTAAAATGTTATTTGGTATTTGATGGATCATAATATATATGCAATGAGTAACTTAAAGCGTTATTTGTGTTGAATTGAATATAGTTATTTTATATTTACACAAAAAAAAAAAATGATTGTGTAAGAAAAAATATTGTACTGTACTTATTAAAAATATTGTACCAAATATGTACCATTTATTAGCACTTTATTTGAAAGCGCTATCAAACATATGTTATATATTAGCGCTTTTTGTTTAGAGTGCTATAAAAAAACAAACAAAAAACATGCAAAATACTGACTTTGATAGCACTTTAATTAAAACGCTATTATAAATTGGTACTTTAATAGCGCTTTTAAAGTGCTATTAAATAAGAAATATTTACAATAGTGGCGCGGTTAATAGCACTTTTAAGCGCTATCAAAAACAAAAAAAAGCGCTATTAAATAGCTTATTTGGCGTAGTGTTTGTCAACCAAATTGAAAAAGATTATATTACTAATGAGGTTTGACTGATTTGTAAATATACACATCAACTTTATAAGCATAATTGAACCTAATTTTCTCTCCAACTATTTGTTAATGTCAATCTATATTATGCAGGCTCATAGTCTACCTGTAACTCAAATTCTAGTCACTGATCGTGTCGAGGCTTCCATGGTTTGTTAATTAGTATTTTCAAATTCAAACGATTTTAGTTGACTTTCCATATATTTACTGAATTTTGTTTAATATTATTCAAGGATTCTTTGTCTGCATTTGGAGAAAATGATCCTGAGAAAATATTGGCCAATACACCGTTCAAGGATGGCTCAGTTGCTCATGATGTTAAAGATTCTGTAACATTATGGAACTGTGCAATTTTTAGGAACCAAACCTTCAAAGAAAGTGAAGATCGAAACAAATGCTTGAGGAGTCATATTTGAAGCACATTTTGAACCGGTTTTCATTTTAATTAGTTATTCGCTTTCCGCAAATTAGGTTGTTTTGAACAACAATTTTATCAAATTTTCTTTATTTCCTTAGAGTTTTGACAATCTTAATTTCATTTAAATGGAAGGGAGGGGAGGGGAGGAAATATTTATAATGAAATGTGTTTGGTTCAATTTTTAGGAGGGGAGAGGAAGGAAGGGGAGGGGAGCAAAGTCTCTCCAAATCACACTTTCTGCGTCCCCCCAAATCGGAGGGATTCAGAAGAGAGGGGAGGGAAAGTGAGTATTAATATTTAATAAATTAATATATTTACTAAAATATTCTCTGTTTTATTTTATTATTTCAAAATTATTATTTTCTTTTGTGTCCCTGCTTATCTTTTTTGTGATTTTTCTCTATTGCTTCCATCAATTTATTATAATTATTCTTCACCTTCAATTTTTATATTTAATATAAATTATAGTCATTATTTTTTTTTTAGTTATTTTTATTTTTATGGTTATTTGTGTTAGCTTTTTTTTATAAAATTTTTTATTATGTATTCTATTATATTTTCTTTATAAAATTTTAAATCACTCTTTTTTGTTGTTGTTTATTTTGTAATATATATTAACATTAACATTAACATGATATTAAAACAAATATGCATGTTACAATTGCAATAATAAAGCATTTGTACACACAAGTGAATAATTCAATAAAGGTTCTAAGTAACAACAACTATGTCCTGCATAATATCAAATCTCAACCACATGTTATTGAGCCTACACGTTTTCCATAATTTCTTGCTTGCATACAATTGGTTTAATAAAACCCTTTAAATACTGCACCATTGCGTATACCAAAACACTATTATTAATTGGAAATAATTATGGAGGGAATTTTTGTAACTCTATGAATTTGGCTGCATCTTCATCCATTTAATTACAGTATGTCATCTTAATTCACAAACGTCATGGATAAACAAAAAGGTGTTGAACATGAACATTTTAATATTGTGTTCAACAAAAAAAGATCATAAGATGTTAGACTTCATAGAAAGTGTGTACTTCAATAAAAGGACAAAGAGACTGAGGGCAATGCATAAGGAAAATGCACAACAGCCTCAGCCAAACACTGACCAAGAATCTTCATGTATCATATATCCACTGTCTAGAATTTCTCCAAAAATCCCAACTTCTAATACATCACTTCGAAATACCTTGCAAAAAACTCATCCTAACTCGGTTTTGAATACGTTGCCAAGTACAATAACCAAAAGACGAACAAAAGTGATGTCTCGCGCGAACATTAACAATATAGGAGTAAATTTGAGAAGGAGATTTGATAATGTGTTTAATCAAGATGCTTCTACATCTTCAAACAATCCCCCACATCCAGTTTCGCAAATCAATGAACTTTTTCAACATGACAGTGGAGACAATGAAAGGAATGATGATTCTTCTGAAGGTATATTACTTTTGACAATTATACTTATAGCTAATATGTTATTCACGTTAGTCTTTTCTAACTAGAATTACTTTATTTATTTTCAAAAGGTTACAGTTCAGATTCTAATTTTTTTATGGATGAGGTGACAAAGGTTTTTATAGTCATTTTGTTCCATTAGATTTACAAATTTCAGGTATTTTAATAAATAAAATGATTTTTATGAGCCAAATCTGATTATTGAATACATATTTTCTCTAACAATTATATTTATTCATTTAGGATACTACTATGACATAAGTGATCGAGTGTTTGAGTGTCGACAATGTGATGCAAACATGTGGTCTATAGAGAGGAAGAACAAATATCGACATTCAGCTAATCCTAAGTTCTCAATGTGTTGTGGAGAAGGAAGGTTCAAACCTTTGTTGAGAGCACCACCATCGGTATTGAAGAAACTGTTGTTTGACCAAACAAATAGTGAATCAAAATTGTTTCAACAACAAATTCGTGTTTACAACATAATGTTTTCACTTACTTATCTGAGTAATAAAATGGACAACAAATTTAAAAGTGGTAGAGTTCCTCCCAATTATCGAATTCAAGGTCAATCATGTCATTGTATAGGTAGCATGTTACCATTGTCAGGTCAAATTCCATGATTTGCACAACTCTATATATTTGATACCGAACATGAAGTTCAAAATAGAGTTGATGGAGTCAGGTTTGTTCCTTTATTTGTATCAATCTAAGAATAGTTTATTAATTTGTTTCGCAGTATAATGCATTTGACTTTATATTTTGTTACATTGCAGAACAAAAAATGGAGTTGATATTAATACAGTGCAAAAACTATCTTCAATTTTATATCTTTGTTGAGAGCACCACCATCGGTATTGAAGAAACTGTTGTTTGACCAAACAAATAGTGAATCAAAATTGTTTCAACAACAAATTCGTGTTTACAACATAATGTTTTCACTTACTTATCTGAGTGATAAAATGGACAACAAATTTAAAAATGGTAGAGTTCCTCCCAATTATCGAATTCAAGTTCAATCATGTCATCGTATAGGTAGCATGTTACCATTGTCAGGTCAAATTCCACGATTTGCACAACTCTATATATTTGATACCGAACATGAAGTTCAAAATAGAGTTGATGGAGTCAGGTTTGTTCCTTTATTTGTCTCAATCTAATAATAGTTTATTAATTTGTTTCACAGTATAATGCATTTGACTTTATATTTTGTTACATTGCAGAACAAAAAACGGAGTTAATATTAATACAGTGCAAAAACTATCTTCAATGTTATATGAACATAACATGGATGCTCAGTGCTTTAGAACGGCAAGGGGTAGACTTTCTGATCTAAAACTCCGTCTCATTTCAGAAGACGTATTGATGGAAAAATATATAATTAAGCAATTGTTTCTGAAGTTACTGCTCTAATTGTTGGTGATGTTGAAACTGCAGAAAAGAGAGACATTATAATGCATAAACAATGTGGTCAACTTCAGAGAATAGATGAATATCATACATCATATTTGGGATTTCAATATCCAGGTCTAACATCAGGCATCACAATAAATGTTCTAACAATGATCGTATTTCAGAATCAACACCTTCAGCAACGGACAATGAGGATGTTCTGTGGGAGCAAGCAACGAAAAGAAATAGACTTATAATTAGAGAGTGGTTCTCCTTTAGGATCCAAGCAAGAAAAAATGAGTCAAAACCATTCTCAGATCAAGAAGGTTATTCCAACAGTTTTTATTAGATGGTTTTACAATGATGGAATCTGAGCAACTTTGATGGCTAAGAAAAAAACAGTCGAAACTACGAGTAGGCAAGTATCACTATCACACGAATGCTAGGACAAATGGCCAGACACAAGGTGCAACTACAGGGAAAAGGGTAGTGTTACCTTCATCCTATGTTAGTAGTCGCAGATAGATGGATCAATTGTACTTTGATGGTGTGGCAATTTGCAGTTATGTTAGATTTCTTGATCTGTTTATTATGTTCACATGTAACCCAAATTGGTCGGAATTGCAACGTGTACTAGATTTTATTAATCTAAAACCAGCAGATAATCCATATCTCATATCAAGAGTATTTAAAATGAAATTTGATGAGTTACTGTCAGATTTGACCAAAAAGAGCCTCATTGGGAAGGTTCTTGCGTGTAAGTAGTTGTTCATTTGACTTATTTACATTTACTTTTCGTTTCACCAATTAATTCTTATGCATAACTTCTATTTTTTTGTAGATATGTATACCATTGAGTTTCAAAAAAGAGGCCTACTTCATGCTCACATATTAATTTTCCTTCATCCATCCAATAAGTATCCAACTCCTACTGACATTGATCGTATCATATCGGCTGAAATACCTAACAAAGGCAATGACGGAGAGTAATATAACTTGGTCAAAACTCACATGATTCATGGCCCGAGCGGAAATGCAAATCGGTCTTCACCATGTATGAAGGAAGGTAAATGTTCAAAATACTTTCCTAAAGACTTTCGGTGTGATATGATTGTTGATCAAGATGGATATCCGGTTTATAGAAGAGGGGACAACGGTCACACTGTCGTTAAGAATGGAATCGATATTGACAATAGGTTTGTTGTTTCATACAATTCGAAGTTGTTACTGAAGTATAGAGCTCATATTAACATGGAATGGTGAAATCAAAGTACATCCATCAAATATTTGTTCATGTACATCAACAAAGGCTATGATAGAATAATTGTTGCAGTTGTCATGAATCAAGATGGAAATTCTATTCAACATCAAGTTGTCAATGAGATCAAGTAGTACATTGATTGTAGGTACGTTTCTCCAAGTGGAGCATCTTGGAGAATTTATGTTTCCCCCATTCATCGAAGGAAACCAGTTGTAGAAAGAGTATATTTTCATTGTGAGGGTCAAAATTCAGTCTACTTCACTGACATCAGCAGTATTACCACAGTTCTTGATAAACCGAGTGTTACTGAGTCGATGTTTACATCATGGTTTGAAGCTAATTGGAAATATGAAGAAGCACAACAGCTAACATATAGCAATTTTGTTTCGAAGTTTTTATATGTAAAAAAGAGAATAAAATGGAAACCTAAGCAAAAGGGTTATACAATTAGCAGGCTAATATGAGTTCCTCCAACTACCGGAGAATTGTACTATCTCAGAATGATGCTAACACATGTAAAAGGCCCATATAGTTATGTTGAAATAAAGAGAGTTAATAACGTCAAGTACGATACATTTTGTGATGCATGTTTTTCTATGGGGTTTATGAACGATGATCGAGAATTCATATCTGCTATAACAGAAGCTTTTCATTGGGCTTCTAGCCATTACTTGAGATTACTTTTTGTACACATGTTATTGTCAATTAGCATTAACAAGCCAAAGCATGTATGGAGTAAGACATGACATCTTTTATCCGATGGAGTTCTTTATTCTTAGCAAAAAAATTGCAAATAACAAGGGTGATCAAATAATGGATGTAATCTTTTTCTCCATAATATTATTTTACTTTTTATTCTAAGATTTCATTCATTTTAAAATATATTTTTTGTATTAGGTTTACGGCTATCAAATCAAGAAATCATGAATTTAACCTTGATTTAGATTGAAAAACTTCTGCAACGAAGTCGTAAGAGTTTAAGTGACTTTCCTGAAATGCCAAAACCATAAGGTTATGTAGTTGAGGAGCTTGGAAACAAGCTTATTTACGAGGAACGAAACTACAACAATGTTGAGCAGCTTCAAGAGTTTGACACACAATATCTGAATATCACAGGTCATGACAATAATAACATGCTCCAACTTATAAAAAATTCAGTGCTATAATTTTTACTATACATTTGTTTCACCAATCAAATTTCAATGTTCCACTGCACATTAATCAACCAATATTATCTTAATTTTTTATTGTATGTATTTTTGTTTATTGCATGACATATGAACAAAGAGATGTATTCAAATAAATCATGATGGCAGTCAATACCCATAATGGAGGCGTGTTCTTTATGTATGGATACGGTGGTACAGGAAAAACATATATGTGGAGAACATTAGCTTTTTATATAAGATCAAGGAAACAAATATGCTTGACAATTTCTTCCTCAGGTATCACATCCCTTTTGCTCCCTGGTGGTCGAACGACACATTCTAAATTTAAAATTACAATTCCAACACTTGAATCTTCCACATGCGATATTGTTAACACATATTTTGTGAGTTAATGCATGCCTTTACTATTTGATATTTTATATTCTAAATTGTTTTTTAGTTTAATTTCTTGCATTTTAGAGTTAATTCAATGTTTAATGTGGATCATAATAGGGTCTCCCCTTTTTAGATTTTAATTGTGTTTTTGTGTGAACAAAGGTTAGCAAAGTCGAGCAGAGACAAGACAGAGTTGGACTACTGCAAGTTGCACAAACTGGCTATTTAAGAGAAGAAGTATTTAGGAAAGAGAAATTCAATAAGAGAAGTTGTTGGCCTTAAGGAAAGCATGAAGAAGAAATAAAGGAGGGAACACTTTGTGGTACAGAAAAGGAGGATAAAGTTATTCAAATTCAAAGAAGATAGTGGAGGAGCTAGAAGACAAAAGAGGGTACAATTGTATCCTGCTCTAGTTACACCAGCACCGTCTGGACCTGCTGCAGATTCTGGCACACGCAACCTTGTCTCCCACTGTTGTCCCTTTTTGTACGACTTCCTTGTTTGTCTAGCGGTTGTTGGTGTTTTGGCGCAATTCTATTTGGGCTTGATGTGACTCATAAGAAAAAGCCCATGATCCAATGCAAGATACCAACCCTAACCCTTGGCCTATATAAAGAGAAGCTTGGTGAAGAGAGGATGGAGTTCGGCGGTTCGAAAAAGATATTCACAAGAGTTTATGTGCTTGGATTGTAAAGTATATGTGAGTCTTCTTTCCTCATCCATTCTGGTACTAACTTATGAGTAATGGTGTGACTGAAGTTGTCTCCTGAAGATTATCCCTCTCAAGGAGACCTTCAAGTCCTCTCTTGGGTTTATATCTTTTGTCATTCATTTGTCTTAAGATGTTTACTGTAAGAGCTTTGCTTGCTATTTTTACTCGGCTCACTATGAGCTAAATATTTTGTATTTGAGAAATGTGAAGTTAATATTAAATTGTGTTTATGTTATATGATTTCTGGTTAGTGGTTGCTTTACCATGTGTTGTTTGTTGCAAAACTTGTTTCTTTATTTGATCAACTTAGAAATAGGTAACAACTTGGTGTTGAGAGAGTTCCAACAAAAAGCATACTTCATGAGTAAAAATGGTTGAATAAGTAGGATAGAGATATTTGCTTGACATATCTTACTTAGATACAAGGAGCTGTAATCATTAAGGAAATCAGATTAACTAAAAGACGTATATTTGGGTTATAAGTGAGGCTTAGATATTTGTTCCCTTTCATGCATGTTCTGAATTAAAGTTCTGGTATGACAGAACTTAGATGCCCTATGACATGTTAATACATCTGATCCGACATTATCAAACAGGCAAGGTATCAACAATAAAAACAGTACTGAAAAGCAATAACAAAATATTAGAATTGTTAACCTAGTTCAGTGTAACTCTCCTACTCTAGGGGCATACCAAGTGAGGGACAAATTCACTATGATATTATCAATTCTAAGCTAAACTCCCCCCGTTTACAACTTCTCACTTAATTACTACCCTTACTAGATTTCTATCTAAGACTCACCTAGATATGAGGCCCTCCTCAATCCCTCTTCAATCACAAACAACGATTAGATCAACACAATTCTGAACAACCAGGAAGACACACTTCCATGACAATCTCTAGCCAAGACTCTTGACTAAGACCATAACTTGGAGTTGCTTCAAAGCTTCCTCCAAGAATAATACTCAACTCATTACTTCACAGCTTCTGAGTGAGAACATCAGTGACCATCTCACAACCCGAGTGGTTCACTTACGCCAACTCTCCTAGAGAGCGGAAAAAAGACAAAGCTCTAGACTTCTACATCTTGAACCCGTACCTTTCCTAGGTTACAAACACTTCTATTTATAATCGATACCCAATTGGATTTGGGCCTTCAAACTACAACATATCGGTTATAACAAACAGTAGTAATTTCTGCTACAAACAAGGTCTTCAATCAAATCTTCCTAAATTATCTCCAAATTTAGAAACTGTATATTCTTCAATATTTTGATTAGATTCTTCTTGACCTTTAAATCAGCGCCACATAGGATTGCATAATATTCCCAAAATATTATGCATCAGTTAAATTATAACAGAATCTAACTGTCCAATTCAGCTCAGGCGCGATTTCGTATGCTCTTTAATAGAACATCTTATCCGACATGTTGTTCCAGATGTTGAAACTCTTCAACTCAACATGTCCTAACATAAGATAAGACTTCTTGCTCAACATGTTCCTGATAGCAAGTTAATATATCCTATCTAGCATATTGCTTCTATATTTGTTTTACAAAAATTAATGCCAATCCTTAAAACTAAGGAACTTACAATCTCCCCCTTTGGCAAATTTTGGCTAAAACAAATAATAAACATTACAACCAAATGACAGCAATAAACAGAAACATCCACCAACATTAGTCCTCAGAAACTATTGATCACAGCAGCACATCAACATGAAGTCAGTCTTCAGTAAAGATGTTGGGACATCTTTGTTTGACATCTTCTTTCAGCATTTTAAATGAGCTCTATTGTAGTACAACCTCTAACATCAAAGAATATCAACCTCGGGATAAATGGAAGGAAAGTCCTGAAGGTATTTGATGTAACCAATCCAGACGGGGAAGATGATAGGACTACACTGCCCCTCAACCCAGGAACTTATTCTTGTCACAAATGAATAGATATTTCTTTCAATTGGTGGAGAAAGAGGACCATGAAGCATCCAACCACCACCTTGGATAACTGACCCGTTGTCGCGCGCGGATCAAAATGAGTGTTTTTGCGAAACGGTAATATAGTGACAACTGTAACTCGAATATCATTCTCACAAGGAATCTTGATTTTATTAACTGAAGGTAAATCGAATTGGGGGGGTTGGTTTGGGTTCAAAAACGAAAACGCAAAATAAGCGCTTAAAATAAGTGATTCTCTAAATAAGCTAAAATGAACCAATCTACTATATCCACTTCCGACTTATCATCGATCCCTATAAAATCCCAATTCCCTAACGGGTTCGTTCCTATTCGATCACAAAAGCTAGTGACAAGCGCAATAGCAATTGTACGACGTCTGTCCCTAAATTCTGAGTAAAGCAAACAAATAAAAACTATTGTGAATTAAGCAAACGCAACATGATCGGATGCGATAATGCAAAAGCTACACTAATCATGAATTTGGTTCAGGATCATCAATCAACAATCGAATCTAAGAATTCTGTCCTATAACAACAATCAAATTAAAAAAATAATTGAAGTTATAAGAAAGATTCAAAGGAAACAAAATAAATTGGGATTTATAAAAACCTCAAAGTGGAATTCGAATACAACCGATTGATTCTTGGAATTTAGTTCTCCATAGATGATTCGTACAAAGCCATAGTTTTCTCGTGAACAATATTTTTTCTCGTCAAAAGTGAATACGTGAACAGTACACAGTTGTTTTGGGATATAGTGAAACATGAATTTCTGGTTACAATCCAACTGGGTCAAAAATATAACCCAAGTCCATTACAAATGACCCAAAACAAGAAATATTTCTAAAGCTGCAACTTCAACGAAATTTCTGGCTCTGCTATAGTCTGATTCAGCTCTCGACTTCTGAATGAAAATC